ACCTTGTATATGCATTACCTCTTTCCTATAGCACCCACTGTTCACGAACCGTCCATTCGCGCCATGGTGCCCCTCTTGGAAGGTGATGGAGCCCACGGCGTTCTCAGTCCTTCATCAACATCGCAATCACTATGTCTCGATTTTGGAGATGTTGCGTCATTACGCAACCGCACACTCCTGACAGCGATTTGTGCGTGCACGGCTCTCATGCTACCTGCGTCCGTTTTCCCGATGCGGGAAGAGATTGGACGTCAATTCCTTACAGCATCACGCGAGACGCTGAAGCTACATCAAGATTACGGTTTGTGAAACGTTCTCAACGTTCTGGACGTAGACTTTGGCTGACCTGACATAAATTTTGAAGACATCGAGCAGCCCGACTATACCGCTTTGGTGACGAGATTCTACCATGCCAACGCCTTGCGTGCTATCGGAAAGACGCGGTTATCCTGGCACATACTAGGGGAAGCTATACACCTGACACAAGAAATGCGGCTCTACGAAGAATCTTCATTCCAGAATCTTGACCCAGTGGAGGAACATCTGTTGAAGAACATCTTCTGGCAGATCCATGCTGTCGACAGGTCCGCATCCATCCTAATCAGTCGTCCAATATCGCTTCATCGCCTTTGTGTAGGAGCTAAAATCACCACATCTTACTGGCGCCGTCCGTCATCCGATGCGCCTCTGCTGGACTACTCGACCACTCCAAACGCTCTCGATATAGAGAGCATGGTCAGCCAGGGATTTGATCTCTGCCAAGACCTGTGGACGAAAGCATCCGACATAATCATCAAGTTCGACACTTTGGATGTTTGGAACGAAGGAATTACGGATGGCTCTGCGTTGGTTGGCCCTCAACACACGATAGTCATCACTGACTACCTCGAGTTCATCGGCATGATCGATCACTTCCGATTTGATGTCAAGGTGCCAGACACCACGAATGCATCTGATCCAGCAACCATGGCCAGGATTCAACGAGCTTTTGATATCCAAAGAGTAAATCTATGTGTCACCTACTACTGTCTGAAGCTAGTGCTGCTCCAGAGATTCTACGATGGTGGAGTGGCTGAGCACTTAGGCGTTCCTGGCCGGGCATACGGGATTGCGTTGAGAAAGATCGATGTTGCTAGTGACATGGTCCGCATACTATCAGAAGCATCCTTCGAGTCCCTTCAAGTGAATGGAGAGCCTTGCGTAGGTTTACTTTATGTTCGTCCAAGCAGTATCACTGACAGCATGGCAGGTGCAAATGATTCGACGCATGGGAGCGACTCTACTCAACATTGTACAAGAGACCGATAACACATCCCTGAAGGAACGTGCGAAATCATTGTTCCTCACCCTCTTGGATGTGCTATCTAGACTGGATTCTCGCGTCTCCCAGGAGCTCGACTACAATCGCGGCTTTTAGACTACTCGGCAATATGGTCCAGACGTACTGTCAGTGTGAAGCGCAAGTTCACGCTTTTGAAGCGTTCGATATGCGACGTACCCTCGGATCGTATTTCGCCCTCCCTTTGTACTGCCACCTTTTGTGCAATGGTACAAACTCGCAATTTCGCTCGTTAAACTTCCAAAGAGCCACCATGGCTTTCACATGCTGTCCGTGAAACATCAGCTATACATGAGACTCGGGAAGGTGTAACGTGCCCATGGCGGCCATCAGCACTGGGAGCGGTAGTTGAGGAAGGGCGAGCGCGCGACATCCCCAGTCAGTTCTAATGTATGAATCACCATAGCCGGCGTGTACGCAAGACCATTGGCCGGCAACGATCATGGCATCCTAGCAGGAGTAGTGTTGTCGCCCAACCTACGAAACAAGGCCAATTAATCCACCACCAAGTCAAACACATACCCCGCAGATTGTCGGATATGATTTCCGCAACACATACGGAAGCGAGCGACTGCCCAAAGCCGTATCCAGTGCGCCGATGAGCTTTTCGCATGAAAGCAGCACACTGTAGCTGTCGAGACCCTGGAAGAAGATTCCATCAATACAATACAAACGACCAAGAAAGGCTACCTTGTGACGACCGATCTTGTCTGCGACACAGTCATCGTCAAATGCAGCCATGAAGATACCGACACTTATCGCAGCATTAGGTACTTGCCGATCGAATGCGCTTGTCTCAACGGCGCCGTTAGCTGTCGTTCGATTCGAATGATCCAAGGATGCGGGAATAGGGATGATGCTGCCGACCAAAGCAAGCTCGAAACCATAGTTGATCGGAAGCGGGAAGATGAGAAAACATCCGTCCCGAAATAGTCGACCCACCGATCCGAGAGAAACCCGAAGAAACATCTACCAAGCAAACGTTCGCTTTCGCTGCCCAAGATCGCGAAGACCTAGGCTTTCATGATAACGTTTGTGATCCCTGGTCCGTATTGGTGCGTTTTTGTCGTGGGCAGTCTCCTCATCCGACCCCTCCAACATTAAGCATCATCAGTGCGGTAACGAAAAGCCAGAAAGAAAAAATCGCTCGCAACCTCAATAATGCGCTAGAAGTACATGGAAACGTCGTTGCAGTCGCGATACTTATACTCGCGTCGCGGAGCCACCTACTCGTCTGCACTCGCATCAGCGTTCGACGTAGCCTAGAATTCCTCCACGGCGAAATGGCGACCCCCGAATCATGCATACGCGCTACTTACGATTTGTCAACTGCCGGGGATAGTGGCTCGCGGATTACAGCCGAATGGGCGGTGGAGCGAGCGACTCCGTTACGGTTTTGGTATAGCGCTCCATATTTCTCCGTGGTGAAACGGAGGCGCAAAACACGGGACGCAGATTTCTCCATGGAGTAATACAGCACGACAGAGTGGGATTCCAACTTAAGGCAGTAGCAATCCAACCCGACACCGAACACCGAATCCACTTTGCTATCAAGCCCGCAATTGGTAATTCTCTCCGATCGGAACCGCTCGACGCGACTCAGTCCACGTCGCGTCATCCTCCGAACTTTGCAAACCTCTCGATCGCTGTCTCGCTGTCTCACTGTGCACACTGAAAGCCTGAAGCATGTTCCGGAATCCCATTATACCTGGCTTCGCTCCTGATCCATCTGTCGTCCTTGTGAACGGAATCTACTATCTCGCAACTTCTTCTTTTCATCTATTCCCAGGTATCCCGATATATGCATCAACAAATCTGCAAGACTGGAAACACATTGGTTCGTTTCTGTGCGCATACTGCGAAGACGTGGGCATCGGCTGAAGCGTTCTAGGAAACGCAATCAATAGATCCTCACAACTCGACTTGAGCAATGCTGTCACGACCGCCATGCCGCTTGATGACGGCAATGTCATGGTAGCATCCGGAGGCCTATTCGCACCCACAATTCGTTATCACGACGGCGTCTTTTACATCGTCTGTACAAACTGCTATCCCGAAAGCAACAACTGGCGAACAGACAATTTCCTAATTCACACAAGAGACATCTGGTCGGATGTCTGGAGCGATGCGATACCCTTTGAGTTCTACGGCATTTACCCTTCTCTCTATTTCGATGACGATAATCGCGCCTACATCCAAGGCTCATGGATGATGAACCGCATAAGGGAGCCTACTTGCACGATCAAGCAATTTGAGATCGATGTGAATACCGGACAAGCCTTATCTGAGACCCGAGAAATCTTGGGTGCCTTTCCAGATGGCGATGCCGAAGGCCCCCACATCTACAAGAAGGATAGCTGGTATTACTTACTTGTAGCACAAGGCAGAACGTTCGCACACCACATGCTATCAATGGCACGCTCGAGAGATATATGGGGCCCGTATGAGCGGTGTCCGCATAATCCTGTACTGACAGCAGATGGCACGAACGAGTATGTGCAGAATATCGGCCACGGTGAGATCTTCCAAGACGTGAATGGTGAATGGTGGGCGGCAGTTTTAGGAGTACGGGGAGACCAGGAGTCCGCACCGATGGGTCGCGAGACCTTTCTCACAACAGTCGAGTGGCAGCAGGACGAATGGCCCACGATAGAGCAGCCACAGATGTCGTTCAGCACACCGCGCACAGTGCAGATGGGTTTCGCCGCTGCACAGTTGCTCAAGAACGTCCGGCAACTCAAGCCTCACATCGACGACGTATACCTGCACAAGCCCTTGCGACGGCCCTACAAGAAAGCTTCCTCAATAACCCTCACACCCACGACCTCGAGCCTCTCCGCCGCATCAGCACCCCTAGCTCTCCTCGCCCGCCGCCAACGAAGCATAACAACCATCGCAACAGCCACCGTCCTCCTCGACAACGAAGCCACCCACTCCAACGCCATCGGCGGCCTAACCATCTACAAAGACCCCCTCCGCCACGCCAGCATCTCCGTCTGCCTCTCCACCCGCCTCATCCACGTCCACTTCGTCGACGCATCCAAAGACTACGAATACACCGCCTCCTACCCCGAACCCGTTTCCCGTTCTTCCACCGCCGTTGACCTCCGCATCATAGCCGCAGAAGAGCGGTATGCCCTCGAGTTCCGCGACCCGGAAAGAGATAGGCGGTGGAATCAGGTTGATGTCGTGGATACGAGGATGTTGAGTGCGAGGGACTTTACGGGCACGGTTATGGGTATTTTTGCGCTGACGGATGGGAATGCGACGCCGAGTGTTAGTCCGAGGGATGGCTGTGATAGTGGGAGTGATGTTACGGATCAGAAGGTTACGTTTCGGGATTTCGAGGTCAGGCGGTAGATGGACGACGAATGGATGCAGGAATAGTAATCAGCATATCAGGCGTGGCGCAGGGATGGGCAGTGGAGTTTTTCTTTTCTTGCGGAGGCGTTGGTCGTATGGAAGGGTGTTTCCTTATCTTGCGTGGTTTGGGAGCTGATGCTGGCGTTCTGGGTGTTATTAAAGGTGTCATGGGTGATTAGGTTGGAGGGACTACATTGGGTTGGTCTGGCACATCGAAGCTTTTGCAGGGTTATATCGGTAATGTTATAATGTGTTGCATGAAGGAATAATCTTTTCATATACAGCTTGCTATACAAATCTACTTGGAGTGCGCTTGTTGGAGTAGTGCTTTGACTCGCTTGCCTGCTTGACTGAATAGACCTGTCTTTGGCTTGACGTGATCGCCTGATACTATATCCGTATCTCCCGTTCCGTTCGATTTCGTCATTGTCATGTCTGACTTCACTTCATCGTCTTTCCCTCCCTCCTTCTGCTTCAAAACTTGACCCACATCCAAAACCTCCCACCTATCCCCCCTCTGCTCAACAACCACCGTCTTAACTCCCCTCCCCCTTCCACCACTTCCCGCTATCCCCCCATAACCCTTTTGATTCGACACAACCAACATATCCGTCCCTTCATCCCGAAACGCACAACTGTAATGCGTATGACCGTATGCCCATACTTTCACAGCCGATGAAGTCCAACATATCTCTGTCGACAAATCAGACACGAAACCAGAGTTCATCGTACTAGCCGCATGTCTCGGGTCAGTCGCGCGGGGATCGGTGGTAGGGCAGTGATGTGTCGCTATGATGACGCTCCGATGCGGTTCGTTCTCTTGGATTTGATGGACTTGCGTGTTCAACCACTCTAGGTCTCGGGTGTGCTCTGTGCAGCTTCTCTCCACCGTCCAGTCCTGTATACCGCGCTCTTCATTATAATCCGTCATTCTAGATCCGACTTCAGCGGCCTGCTCAGGTCGGATGTCGCTCCAGAGCGTACAGCCTAGTATTGTCACGTTTTCGTTGAGATCGTAGCGGTCGCGGAAGAGGAGACGGAAGCGACCACCGAAGTCTTGTTTTGCGGTGTTTTCAAAGTCTCGCATGCGTTCGACGGCATGCTCAAGAGTTGTTTGGTAAGCTTCGTGGTTGCCGAGGACGTAGAATATGCGGCAGCCGCGGTTTTGGTCGAGGAGATTGCGGAGGAATGTGAAAAGACCTTCGTGTCGGACTAGGCCTATGTCTCCGAGTAGGAGTAGTGCGCTGCCAGTGACCTTGAGGTTGATGTGTGAGTATTGTGGGTTGTTCATGGGAGTCTCCAAGTGGAGGTCGGAGACGATTTGGAGTTGGGGCGCGAAGAAAGCCATGATGGGGTGTTATGTGCTGATTAGGAGTGCGAGCGAGGTGCTCTTGTATAAATACATAAAATGCGCTAGGAAGTATCTGGTATCTTGGTTGTGGGGTTCTTTGGTAACCAATCGATAACTAGTCAATCGTGTACATCATCGCAGGTACGACGCATGATATAACAACAAACTTCCGCCTACTTGCACTTGCAATTAAGAAACATGCATCACGTAGATAACGAGGAGAGCCTTGTATTTGCAAATCTCTGTTGCAGGGTATCTATACAAAATTTACGCGATCCAGAACGCCAGTAAACCTCAGCTCCACTCCCTACCTCTACTTCCTAAACAAACTCGTCGCACTCCCCGCCAGCGGATTAGGCTGAAACTCCATATCATTCCCGCCCGCAAACAGCGGCACACTATCATCATCAACCCTACTCCTCGGTTTGAGCTCCTCGCCCCTAGCAATCTCAATCGTGCTAATGACGGGCAGCGCCAACAACAGCAACGGCAGCAGTTGACCAAAACTCCAGTTCCCTTCACTGGGCCCAACAAGATGCACAGACTCAGGTGGATGACCAAAAGCCTGGGATTCAAGAACGACGCGCACGGTCGCGCCGACGCCCATGGCGAGACAAGCGAAGAGACCAACGACCTGGACGGTCTTGAGCCATTTGGGATTGGAGCGGTTGTGGAGGTACCATGTTGCGAAGCCGAAGGTAATGACTTGTCCTGCGATTACGGCGATGGTGCCTGCGATGGAAAGCGCGGCGTTTCCACTCGTGCCTTTGCTTTCCACCTCCCACACACATGCGATCGGCAGTCTTGGCTCCATATCTTTCATGACCGTCTGCAGAATGAACACCCCGCTCAAAATGCCCAGGAACATGTTCACTAACATGAGTATCTGTCTGATCCACCGCAGCACCCAGTCCCTCTTGAAATCGTTTACGAGTGCGAGTAACGTAGCAAGGTTTGTGGCGGTAGATAGCAGAGATAGGAGCCAGATGATGAAGAAGTGGTATGGCACCATCGTTTTCATCTTTGCTAGCCCGACGGATTGGATGCCGATACCCGTTAGGATCTGTTGGTCGGAGAAGGACTGGAGGAGCTTTCGCGAAATGGGAGCCGAGGTGGATTTTCGCAGGCCGAGCAGGATGATGGTAGCGGAGAGGAGGATGGAGAGGATGTTGGTTATTATGAAAGAGAGGAGGGTCTGTGAGGTTCGGAGTTAGTTGGGGGGAGAGAGTCGAATTGGGGTGGGGGGACGTACGCCTGCGCCTGCTACTCCCGCGTCGGTGTTTGTCGTCTCGGGGACGGTGGAGCAATTGAACGCCATAGTGGTGTCTTCTCTCTTCTCTGTTCGGGTGGTTGTGGTGCTGTCGAAGGAGTGTAAGCGCGTCAGGCCAGCATGCGCAAAGTCGTGTTGTGGTGTCGCGAAGTCCAAATCGCAGTCGCAAAGTCGCAAATGCGCGCAACAAACAGAACGACGTTAAAGAAAAAGTCTCGACTCGCCGCGCAAGTTCACCAGGAAAGCAACAAGAAACAGACAGCGGAAGTGAAAGTAACAGAAAGCAAGAACCTCAGCACAGCCTCACGCAATGTCATCATACCCTACCAGGATCCCTCCCTCCATCGCATCTCCCATCTAATTTAAGGCATGTAGGCGAATGCGCCTTTCCCATAACCATCCACCATCCCAGGGGTAAAAAGATCGACAGCGTGAAACAAGGCGGCACTGCCGGCCAATAGCCGATCTTTGCCCGTTGACATCTGTGGCGTAAGCGCGCAATCTGCGACAGGTGCTGGGCCAGTTAGAGATGCGGGGTAGGGTTTTCCATGGATGGACGATGGTGGTGGGTCATGCGTTGAGGGAAAGTTGGTGAGAGGGAAGTGGAGTTTGGAGGTGTTTTTGGGCACGAGGGCGCTTGCGCAGGGGAGAAGTGGAAGTGCAGGAAGGGTCCGCCGGCGTGGCGCGTAGCGTGGTGGCGGATGTTGCGGATGTCAACTTCGTCGGCTACGCATTTATTTCTCGACATACAATGTTCTTCAGGGGCACGAATACTTGTACAAATTCGCTATCGTTGAGTTGCATACGCCGGTGCAGATGTCCTAGCAGCGCTCATGTATCCGTTGCCCATCCCCTCTGCTTCACTCCTCCGAAGGTGCCGATGCGGGCTTGCTCGTCGGCGCATACGCGCTCTTGCCTCTGATCTTCGCACCTTGGAGGTAAAACCAAATCGGCACAGGTATCATCGCAGCAGCGAAACATCCAAGTAAAGTCGAAGCCCATTCCACGCCCATACCCTCAAACATTTCCTTCGCAAAGAGAGGAAACGCTGCTCCCCATATACTGCGAAGGAACGTGTTCGCTGCGATCGCCGAGGCGGCAAACTAGATAACATGTCAGCAGTGACTTGGATATGTGGAGACCCGGGTTCTTCTTACCATGAGATAAGCATCGATGATATAGTTGAACGACTGCAAAAAGATACTCATGATACCAAATCCGATGAGCAATCCAGAGCACGTAGGCACGATCCAATGGATGTCCGCGCGATACCCGGTCCATCCGAACCAGAACAAACCCCCCGCGAAAGCGACACCACCCACAATGACCTCTGGTAAACGCCACTCAGGAATTGGGACGTTGTTGTTAGCAGCCAGCCTTTTCTGGTATCCCGGCTGCCTCGCAAAGATAAACACGCCAGCAAACAACTCCCCAATGATCATTCCAAAGAACGGAAGACCACCAACACCCGGGTTCATACCATGGACGCCCTGGAATACGATCGGATACGCCGTGAGGAAGAGATAGAGCAATCCGTAAATGAAGGCGATATAGATACTGAGCAGCAGCACGATACGCTCCGTGACCAGCATCCTAAGCGGCCTCGAAAAGTTCTTCTCGATGAGTTCGCGGAAATCGACTTCAATCTCTTCTTGCTTGGCGTGGATGCCCCAGTTCTTTGTGCGGCGGCGCAGTTCGGCGGCTTTGGCGACGAGGATGATGGGTGGGTAGGATTCGTCGAGGAAGAGGAGCATGAGGGTGAAGGAGGCGAAACCCATGAAAGAGCTGTGATGGAATGATTAGTATACACGTTCCTTTCGGAAAGGAGGGAGGAGGGAGGGGGGAAGTGCTCACACAAGGTACTGAGTCCATCGCCAGGAATTTGACATGACTATGAAGCCGCCGATGAAAGGAGCGAGGAAAGGACCTGTGAAGACCATTACGCTGAACAGGCAGATTGCTATACCACGCGTTCTATTGGCGAACATGTCGGCGAAAACTGCTGCAACAATCTATGTCCCTATCAGCACTTTGTCTCACCCATTAAGATATCGCACAAGTACTCACGGTAATCGGACACGCGCCAAAGAACCCCGCGAAGAACCTACAGATCAAGATGGTCTGCAAGTCTTTCGCCGTCGCACACGCAATGTTGAAGACTGAGAAGCCAAACGATGCCACCACAAGCGGCAATCTCCTTCCCTTGAGCTCTGAGAACGGTGCCCAGAGAACGGGTCCCGTGGCGAATCCTAGGATGTACAATGATGTGCCCAGCGTAGCGACAACGTAGCCGACGTTGAACTGTAGCTCGATAGCTCTCGTCGCGGTACTGAATATCGAACTAGCGAATGAAGCTGTGACTGTCGTGAATCCCTATCCGCATGGCACACCAGGTCAGTCTATATCCATCATCTGAAGGCTATCGCGTCCTGTTTCCGGAGGACCTAACGTACCAGCATAAGCGCAGTAAACAGCTTCTTCCCCAACGCCCAATTCTGCGCATGCAACGGGTCATCTTCTCCATCGAATTCGACGACATAGTCTTCTTGGTTGCCGAGAGGAGGAGGGTACGGTTTCCCTGCGCCGAACGCTGGTAGTGGGCGAGAGCGAGTAAACCTGCTGCGGAAGACACCGAGACCACCACGGGCGCTGTCGCCGACTGTTTGCGAATGCTGGCTCTTTGACGTGTGAACGCGGTTCAAGGACGAGGCATCGTGGCGTAGAGCTTCGACGTCGGTCTGAGGATTTGTCTGGCGTGGGGAGGTACGTGAGGTCGAAGTGGCCGCTGTGCTCGACGAAGATCCTGTACACAGTACACCGCCATCCTTCTCGTTGTCTTTCTGTAGAACTCCGGCGTGGACCTGTGCGAAGCTGTCTGGGCTAGCATCTCGCTGTGTCATCTTTTGCGTGTAGCGGTTCTTTGTCGTTCGAGATGACTACAACGAGTCCAATGCAACAACGGATACTGCGACCCGATGCTATACATATTGTATTCTCCGCGCATGTTTAGCGGTCAGTATAGTATGTTGAACGTCCGTTGCTCCGCGCCGAACTCCACAACAATGTTGATCCCAGAGCGCGAGCATCGGGGATATAAAAATGCACCGACGAAAGAGACATTGTTATTCGCTAGAGCGGAACATGCGAGTCTTGCGAGTCATAAGGGATGTTGCCAATGTTTCGTATAAATCCTATGCTACTTTATATGCTCAACTGTTGGGATTCCTGCAGACTGATGGTGCTGATCGCGGCGTTTGGGGCGCGTTGTGTGGTTGGTATTGATGTATGGTTAGCCATCATGGCGCCGTGGAACCCCCGAAGGCACGTCGACCATGACTAAGAAAGCAGCGAGCCAAGCCTTCTCTCATGCTTTGTATATAGGGGGCATGGCCCCGAGCCAGACTTTGTCCATCGACGTTAGGCAGTCAACGTCGCAGTCGCTGATGTCTAGGTTTGGCAGCCCTAGGTGCCACCATTCTCCGCGTCGCGGCCCAAGTGCTAAGACGTGTCGTTGCGCTAGCCCACCTACCGTTACCACTCGACCTTGGGCAGTACTTATACGAGCCGCGCCCTCATCAGGCTTACCGTTACTACGTCCACGCCTGTCCTATGTGATACATCAAGTCACAAGTGCATATGGCAAGATGTGTTGTTGTCCCGCAGTGGGAGTGGTATCTCTACCATGTCGTGATTTTTGGTATTCGTCTAGCAACTGCTCATAAAGACGTGAAACCGTCCGTCATGATCATGCATAGTCTTCATCAAAAGGTCATAAAAAGGGCGCGCCAACAAGAAGCATCTACAACTTCTGCATGGCAACGATGTCGGTGGACTGGACGTGGTCCTCGAACTCTTCGATCTGTTGCTGGAGCTCGTCGAGCGAGACCTTGTCGTCCTCGACGACCAAGTTGATCTGGAGCTTCTTGATACCGAAACCGACAGCAACAAGCTGGGAGGCACCCCAGACGAGACCCTCCTTCTCGATGGAAAGAACGTTCGCCTTGAGCTCGTCCATGTTTGTCTCGTCATCTGAACAACGTTAGCATGCAAGCCCATTGGCAAATATGGGAAGACACATACCCCATGGCTTGACGTCCATAGTGACGATAGACTTGGCAGCAGGCTTGACCTTGCCGGCCTTCTTCTTGTTGTACTCGGCCAGACGCTCCTCCTTGATCCTGGCAGCCTCGGCGTCCTCCTCCTCGTCGTCGCTGCCGAACAGGTCGACCTCGTCATCGTCGTCCTCAGCCTCCTTCTCAGGTGCCTTGGCGGGGTTGAGGGTGAGCTCGGAGGACTCGGGGCCGTAGGCGGTGAAGTCCTTGGTAGGGTCACCAGGAAGGGAGTCGAACTCGCCCTCGAAGGTGAGCATGTGGTTGTACCAGCGCCATGCGTACGGGTACTTCTCAGGCGCGGGGATCTGCTTGATTTGCTGGTAGACCTTTACATCGGCCTGCGATGGGGAGTAGCTGGGGCATGTTAGCCAATGACTCCTTCATTGTGTCTGGACAAGAGGCAGAAGGAGGGAAGATAGATCAGAGTTGCGACAAGCGCGTGGTTTTGTATTCAGATAGCGGGGTCTTAAGCCGCCTCATTAACACGGACCAATTGTTCTCATCATGAAAACTTGGGGGGTGCGGCGCAATGCAGGGAAGGTACAAAGCGGAGGGAGTTGTATGGCGGGGTAGGAACTTACCCAACAATGTAGCTGCGGGTCTTGACATAGTTGTTCAGGAGAGTCAGGCCTGCTTCGGAAACGAGATCGGTGAAACCCATAGTTGCAGATGTGGTAGCGAGTATGGTATGGGAGAATCGAAGGTGTTGTGTTGAGAGAAAGAGGGACGGCTGCAGTTTTTGATGGAGGCTGGAGGAAATTGCACTGAGAAAAACGCGCTAGCCTTGGCGCTAGCACGTGCCCCTCCCTGCCCGCGACAGTCACGAACACGAAGAGTCAACCAAGTCATACTAATGTCGACCTTTATGCATCTAGATCTTGCGCATTAAACCCACACGAACATATGCTCTTCTGCGCGCCCTGGCTTCCATCCGTGTCGGTTGTGGATGCTGGAAGTTTGGAGTGTTTACTCATAGACGCGTAGAAATCTATCGAACCACCGCGCATCTTCGCCGAAGCCTTTGCTCCCGCCATCCATCACGAATATAATGATACCATCTCCATCTTCTCCAAATTGACTTTTGCTTGCTTTTTGACTCCGACATCGTCATGCTGACCAGTAGAGCACGCATAGCCGCGAGGCGCATCGCCTCCCCCTCGACCTCACGATTACTTCCCATCCGCACATCGCCTTCATGTCTCAATGCTTCCGCGATACGACTGCCTCAGCAGCAGAAACTCCTACGACCACTCATATCGTCACGAAGCTATGCCACCAACGGAGGCCGACCACACCCTCCAGGTGGAACACATCGCATGAACCTGGGTGGCGAGCCGGAAAAGCCTGCGTTGGAACAATATGGCGTGGACCTTACCGAACGAGCGCGTGACGGCAAGCTAGATCCAGTTATCGGACGAGACGGCGAGATCCAACGTACCATACAGATCCTATCGAGACGAACGAAGAACAACCCAGTCCTGATCGGCTCAGCGGGAACAGGAAAGACTGCCATCCTGGAGGGCCTGGCCCAGCGAATTGTGAAAGGCGACGTGCCCGAGTCGATCAAAGACAAGCGCGTCATATCTCTTGACCTCGGGTCACTTATCGCCGGCGCAAAGTTCCGCGGAGATTTTGAAGAGCGCCTCAAGAGCGTCTTGAAAGAGGTCGAAGAAGCGAAGAAGGGTGTCATACTATTCGTGGATGAACTACACACGTTGCTGGGTTTGGGTAAGGCAGAGGGCAGCATCGATGCTAGCAACCTTCTGAAACCCGCCCTCAGCCGTGGAGAGCTACAACTCTGCGGCGCAACAACGCTCAACGAATACCGACAAATCGAGAAGGATGCGGCGCTTGCGAGACGATTCCAACCAATTCTAGTTGGCGAGCCGACCGTACAAGACACAATCTCCATATTGCGCGGCATCAAGGAGCGATACGAGGTTCACCACGGAGTCCGCATTACTGACAACGCCCTAGTCGCCGCCGCTGCGTACAGCAACCGATACATCACCGACCGCTTCCTTCCCGACAAAGCCATCGATTTGGTAGACGAAGCCGCGAGTGCCCTGCGCCTCCAGCAAGAGAGCAAACCCGATGCGATTCAAGAGCTAGACCGTCAGATCATGACCATACAAATCGAGCTGGAATCGCTGCGGAAGGAGACAGACATTGCCAGCAAAGAGCGACGTGAGCGCCTCGAGGAATCTTTGAAACAAAAGCAAGAGGAAGTCAAGGGCTTGACCGAGAAATGGGAGAAGGAGCGGGCTGAGCTTGACGAAATCAAGAACGCGCAGGAGAACCTTGAAAGGGCAAAGCTCGAGCTCGAACAAGCTCGCCGAGAGGGAAACTTTGCCAAAGCCGGTGAGCTGCAGTACAGCAGGATCCCTGAGTTGGAGCAGAAGCTCCCCAGAGACGAGGAGGTGACTGCAGGCGCCAACCGACAGGGCTCCTTGCTACACGACTCTGTGACTGCCGACGACATCGCATCCGTGGTTTCACGCACGACCGGCATCCCGCTCTCCAAACTCAACTCGGGCGAGAGTGAGAAGCTTATACACATGGAAGACACCCTACGGCAATACGTCAAGGGCCAAGACGAAGCCTTGAAGTCCGTTGCAAACGCCATTCGTCTGCAGAGAGCTGGCTTGTCCGGCGAGAACCGACCCATCGCTTCTTTCATGATGTTGGGACCGACAGGTGTAGGAAAGACCGAGGTTTGCAAGAGGTTGGCGGAGTATCTGTTCAGCACTCCTCAGGCCGTCATTCGATTCGACATGAGCGAGTTCAGTGAGAAGCACACGGTTTCCCGCCTCATTGGTTCACCTGCAGGCTATGTTGGATACGAGGACGCTGGTCAGCTTACCGAAGCTGTCCGACGGAAGCCCTACGCGGTCCTCCTGTTCGATGAATGGGAGAAGGCTCACAAGGATATTTCGACGCTTCTGCTGCAGGTACTTGACGAAGGCTTCCTCACAGACGCCCAAGGACACAAGGTCGACTTCCGCAACACCATCATCGTCATGACATCGAACCTGGGTGCTGATATCATCGTTGGTGACGACGTGCTGGACTCGGCTGGAAAGGAATCTAGTGAAATCTCTCCCGCAGTACGCAGCGCTGTGATGGATGTTGTGTCCGCCACATATCCACCGGAGTTCCTCAACCGTCTAGACGAATTCATCATCTTCCGCCGTCTGTCACGCGAAGCGCTCAGGGATATTGTGGACATCCGTCTCAAGGAACTGCAGCAGCGACTGGACGACCGTAGGATTGTACTACAATGTCCAGACGAAGCCAAGCAGTGGCTATGTGATATAGGCTACGACCCGAAGTTCGGTGCTCGGCCGCTCAACAGGCTCATTGCACGTGAGATCGGCAACAGCCTGGCGGATAGAATCATCCGTGGAGAGATTCGCAGCGGAGACACGGCCAAGGTCGCCATCAACGCGGAAGGCACCGGTCTCACCGTTGCTACCGCATGAGAAAGTATGACTAACGACGGTATGACTGTATAACAGACTGTAAACTATACTATTGCATGTACATAATGTAGCATCAACGGCGTTTGTAGGTATAACATTTCCTCTCTGTAGATTGCATCAATGCACAAAATTCTCTTCTTTGATTCATTATCCCGCGGCAGGCACGCGTCGCGTAAACTGCCATGCGCGACTTCCTCTTTCATCTCAACCCACACAACTTGGTATTCTCTCACCTCACCGCCACCCAGCCCCATCAAAGCCATCGTTCTCGATCTCTGCGATGGCGCGCAACTCTTCATACCGGAATCGGGGTAGTCGCAGCAGTGCTACCTCGCGCGGAAATCGCAGTAGTCAAAACCGCCGCACACCTACCTCCGCTAGCAACTCGCATGCATCGTCCACGCGCTCTGCTTCAAGCGTTCCTGCAGGACCCAGCAGATTGCGTAGAGACGTTGATCGGGGACCGTTTCCGGATACTTCAGTGGACACACCTTCCGAAAGTCGCAATGCCGAAGAAAACGACGACACATTGATCGAGGTCATCATGGCCGTTGATATGACACCACGTGGTACAGTAGGATGTTGCTATTACGTCGCAAGAGAGGAGAAGCTGTACTTCATGGAAGATATACAATGCGGCGACGTTGATGTTATCGACTCCCGTGGGTTCTTCTTGTCTCGATGTCTAGACCCCATGTTAATTAGGGCGCAGTGAGAACATTCATCGAGCCTACCGTTGTCCTGGTATCGACAAAGATTGACGACAAAGTCATCGAACGGTTCGATCCAGAGGCCAGGAGCGACTCCGCAAGCAGCGACAACGACCAGTTTCGCCTTCCATTCCTGCTGGAGGTGAGGCCACCCAATGAGTTCTTCTACGATGCTGCAAAGAGCAAGCTTGTCAGCCTCCGCCTGGGTGACGAGAGTGGTACTCGTGTCAGTTTCAACATACCTGGAGAACTTGCGTCAATGAACCATCTGGACGAAGAAGGCACGTTAGGCCAGCAAGGACAACTGCTCCGGCTAGCAGGATGGATTGACCTTGACAGCCGTTCAACGGTATTCTCGCGCTTCCCATGAAAGATGCGCCGCTAATACTGCACAGGTCGGCTGCGCTGGAGCACTTATATCGTATCTTCAACGCCGACGCGCTGCAGCGTATCTTCCTGGCGATCGCTCAGCCTATCTCATGTTCCGTATCACAACACTGGAAATGTTCAGCCTTCGAGAGACCATGTTCATCAACGCAGATACCCTTCACTCCTTACAAATTATGGGTGCCGAATCACATCCGCACTCGCACAACAAAGGGCCGACCAAAGCCAGCTCCGGCGAAAAGGAAGGGCTCTCTGTGTATGGGCTATTTCACCATCTCGCTCGAACACCACAAGGAAGGTTCCTGCTTCGGCAACAGTTCCTGCGCCCTAGCCTCAACATCGACATCATCAACGAGAGGCTGAGTACGATAGGGGTCTTCGTTCGCCCAGACAACGATCCCGCAGTACAGGCACTTGTACAGAATCTCAAGAATGTCAGCAACATGCGTGCCATGATGGTCAACCTGAGAAAGGGCGTGGGTGGCTCAACGAAAGCAGGCGGAGGCTTCTCCAAGAGCATATGGACGTCGATCAGAGCGGCACGTTTCGCAAAACACCATTTTACGTCATCTGACTGATCGCCTTAGTTTGCATTCCATGCACTCAAGATCAAAGACACATTACAGGATGTTCTCGGTGGTGAAAGCTTAGCTATCAGGAACAAGGTACTGCTAACTGCCAGCCTGTCAATCACTGCGAGGCCGCACAAATAGCCTGCTGCGGTTCCTTAGATTACGACTGACATTTGCAGGTGTTCGAGAAATTTGAAGGCTACCACCTGGCCCAGATCGGAAGGAAGATCAGTGAGACCATCGACTTGGCCAGTTCGGCAGAAGAAGGTCGGGCTGTCATCATGCCTGGCGTTGACGACGAGCTGGATCAGATGAAAAGGACTCTAGACAGTCTTGACGACTTCCTCAACCGAGTAGCGCGAAAGCTGTCTGAGAAGATGCCCTCTGACATTCGTACGTCGACACGCTCCTGACAATGCTAAACATTGTTACTCCAAAGTTACACCACGTCAAATACTGACCAGACTAGGCGCCACCCTGAATGTCATCTACTTTCCGCAAATCGGGTTCCTCTGCACCACTCCCGTCAATGAACTAAGTGGAGACGCCGTCTACCAAGGCACCTTCGACAGTCCTTGGGAGAGGATGTTTGCCACTGAAGAGCAGGTCTACTTTAAGAACAGCGAAACCCGAGAGATGGATGATCACTTTGGCGACGTGTACGGCATCATCTCAGATCGCGAAATCGAGATTAGCCACGAGCTCGCGCAGTATCTACTTCAATATGAAGATCTGCTGACATCTTGTTCGGACGTATGTGGAGAGCTTGACAGCCTTCTTGCATTAGCACAAGGCGCGAAGATCTATAAGCTTTGTCGCCCTCGGATGACCAACGACAATGTCATACGTATCAAGGGAGGCCGGTGAGTACACTGATCGTGGAGGCTCCATGCAGCCACTGACTTCCGTCTAGCCATATTCTGCAAGAGCTCACAGTATCATCCTTTGTTGCGAACGATACGACCTTAAGAGGCGGGGAGGGTGATGGAGCTTCGGAGGAAGACGTCGATGAAAGCTATGGTACCGGTACCCAACCGATTACGAGCTCTGCAAGTCGCCATACCTACGCGCATAAAGATAGCGCAAGCATGCTTGTCTTGACCGGGCCCAACTATTCAGGCAAAAGCGTGTACCTGAAGCAGGTCGCGCTCATCGTATACATGGCTCACGTTGGATGTTTCGTCCCAGCAGATAGCGCAAAGATTGGGCTGACGGACAAGATCCTTTCCAGGGTGACGACGCGCGAGACAGTGTCTCGTGTCCAGAGCGCTTTCATGATAGACCTACAGCAGATATCCCTCGCACTGAGCTTGGCGACCCGCCGCAGCTTGCTTATCATTGATGAGTTTGGCAAGGGAACTGAGTCTAGTGATGGCGCTGGTCTGGCATGCGCAGTCATGGAGTACCTGCTGAGTCTGGGGTCTGAGCGACCAAAGGTCATTGGTGCTACGCATTTCCATGGTGCGTGAACTTCGATCATTCATTCGTCAGCTGCTAACACGTACCAGAAATCTTTGAAATGGACCTGCTTAAGCCGAGACCCGCTCTTGCATTCGGGCATATGGAAGTACGTATCGATGCCGATGCTTCGGAAGTCAACGAGCAGATAACATATCTCTACAAGTAAGTATACTACGAAAGCAAGAGGGCATGCTAACAGCGCCTAGCTTTCGTGAAGGTCGGAGTACCTCAAGCTTCGGTACATGGTTAGTTTGTAGCCTCGATGTCTGCCTGCTTCCATTGACAAGAAGACAGCTGTGCCGCCATGAACGGTGTGCCTCCCGAGATCATTCAGCGTGCAGAAAACCTCATCTTCCTTTCCGTTCGAGGTGAAGACCTGGTAGCTGCATGCTGCCAGATGCCAGAGGATGAGGCTGCGGAACTCGAGGAAGCGGTATGTGCTGCCGAACTGTTGGAGATATGGACTAATGCGGAAGCAGGAGCAAATCGCGAGAGACTTCCTTGGAGCCGACGTCTACCGCGACCCGAAGAATACGCTAGCAGACATACTCACAGTATCTACAACTACTGATTCGCGCAGCTAGAAGGGGGATGCACAGATGATGACGTTCGGTAAGCGGGGCATGGATAGGATGAAGTTGTCAAGCGTAGGAAGGACCGTGGGTCGCGTTGAACTACTACTCTGCTTGATCGCACGAGAGAGATCACTGCGGCAGATCGAATGATTCAGAACGTAGACGTGAAATGGGATTTGACTTGGGCAGACGACGTGACGATGCTTTCAAGAGTGCTCTACCTGATCCATGGCCTTGGTCACGTCTTCTTCCTTGAACCGATGCATAAGCTTCACCGACGATATGGTTGTCTCCTTAGCTTCGGCTTTGTCGATGTGGATCTGGTTGAACATTCAGGTACTCTGTGCATTACACGCATATATAGACCCGTGGTCCGGGTCGGCTTACCACCGGAGTATCGAACTCGTACGCGCCCTTCCACTTTTCTTGCCCTGCATCCATGACATTGATCTCGTCGTAATCAAAAGGCCTCTTCGCCTTGACGTTCTGCACGACAGCTTTAGCCGTGTCGCATAGGCCGCATGGGGTTCGGGTGAAGAAGGTGACGCGGCAAGCGAGCAGACGGGATGTGGCGCGGAACATGGTGGCGACGTGTTGACAACCCACACACTCTCTCAATACCGATGACTACGAGCGTGCAGTACAGACGGGGAAACTCGTGTTGACGCGACAGCAATTCCGAAGATGGAAAGCTTCAACGGCCAGGATATCGATTAAGCTTCGCGCTTGGACCCTATGATGACGGCTGATTTCCAGAATGTTCGGAACAAAATCTGGGGCATCGCAACACGACAAGCAGCGCGCATCCGACCTTTCTCTCCACTCGTTAAGTGCGTTACTCACAGAAACCGACAATCATGGCGAAGAAGTGTGTACACAAGGGCTGCGGCAAGACGTACGAGGACGAGAACGAGGAGTGTGTTTACCATCCCGGCCCACCCAAATTCCACGAGGGGCAGAAAGGTAGGTCAGCACCACCAACGCGCATATCAACAAGACCAGCAAAGATGCTAATTGAATTCCCCAGGCTGGGAATGCTGCAAACCACGCGTCTTGACCTTTGACGAGTTCCTCGCAATCGAGCCGTGCACAAAGGGCAAGCACTCGGACGTCGACGACACACCCAAGCCCGAGCCCGTCAAAGCCCCCGACGTGCCCAATGACACCCAAGTCAATCTCGGATCGCTCGAGGAATCCCTCCCTGCGCCCGCTCCCCGATTACCCACCGCACAAGCCACGCCCAAGCCCAGCGCTTCACCGGCGCCGCCGCCAGAATCCGAAGACGACGACCCGAGTCTGGAGATCAAGGAGGGCATGACATGTCGGCGGAAAGGATGCGGCGCGACACACAAGGGAGGCGATAGGGAAGGAGAGAGCTGCATACACCACCCCGGTGCGCCCATCTTCCACGAGGGCAGCAAGGGGTGGAGTTGCTGTAAGAGGCGGGTCATGGAGTTCGATCAGTTCATGAAGATCGAGGGGTGCAAGACAAAAGACCGACATTTGTTCATCGGCAGCGGCAAGAAGAAGGGGGGCGAGGAGAAACTAGAGACAGTTCGGTACGTCTTTCTACTCTCTCAATCAAGACGACCTACTAACCCCACACCCCAGACACGACTACTACCAAACCGCCACCTCGGTCGTCGCATCCCTCTACCTCAAGAAAATCGACAAAGCAACCGCCGTCGTCGACTTCCAACCCACACACGTCAAGCTCGATCTCCCCACCTCAGACAGCAAGCGCTACCAAACCGAATTCCTCCTCTTCTCGACTATCAAGCCGGAAGAGAGCAAGTTCAGGATACTAGGCACGAAGCTCGAGATGACGCTAGTCAAGGCCGATGGAGCTAGCTGGCCGGTCCTCAGGAGCGACGATAAACCTACTGGGGAGATGATTCAGGTGGGTAGGGCGGGGAGGGCGTAGGGGTCAAGTGACATGATGTGGGGAAGAGTAGAGTCATGCAGAAACGAAGTTACGTTAAATCAGGCATACTGCTTTTTATCATGAGTTTATGGGGTTTGTGAGTATGTGGAGAGTGTGGCATGGTGTACATACATGTGAGAGAGGGGGTGGCTTATTAATCATGACGCACCTCGCGCTCTAGCTATCTCCGCATGTTATGCAATCAGCCTTACAACATTCCCATTTCCAATCTCGAGTCGGTTTACTAAACAGCGAACCAAGGTACCGAGGACAGCATCAAGATATAAGTTGAATCGCCCGGTTCGTCATTGTTATTACACCAATCCTCCTCGACGACCAATCCCCTTCACACCCACCCACCGACACCACCCCATACCAAGTATCCACCCCAGACCGCAGCAGAACCCAGCGATGTCCCCCAAACCCCCCCTCATCGCCATAATCGCCGGCGTCGGCCCCGGAACCGGCGCCTCCGTCGCCCGCAAATTCAGCCAAACCTACCCCGTCGTCCTCCTCGCCCGCACCCCCGAATCCTTCTCTTCTCTCGCCGAGGAAATAAACAAGAACGGCGGGAAAGCCATTGGCATAGCCACAGACGTATCCTCCGCCCCCTCCCTCTCCTCCGCCCTCGCCGGGATCAAGAAAGAGTTTGGAGATGATGTCGCAGCCGCGGCGGCGATTTTCAATGCTTCTGGTGCTTTTATGCGGAAGCCGTTTTTGGAGATCCCCGTCGAGACGTTTGAGAGGAGTTTGGGGGTTAGTGGGATGGGGGGTGTGTTGTTTTCGCAGACTTTCTTGCCGTTGTTGTTGAAGGGGGTGGAGAGGGGGAGTGAACACCCGCCTAGTCTTATCTTTACGGGGGCGACGGCGAGTGTGAAGAGTAATGCGCAGATGGCGAGTTTCTCGACGGGGAAGTGGGCGTTGAGGGCGCTGAGTCAGAGTTTGGCGAGGGAGTTTGGACCGCAGGGTGTGCATGTTGCGCATGCGATTATTGATGGGGTGATTGATATTCCGAGGACGAAGGAGTGGTTGAAGGATATGCCTAAGGAGGCAAAGTTGAGCGCTGATGCTGTGAGTACAACGAGACGGAGAGGAGATGTTTGCAGCTGACGTGTGAACAGATTGCGAACGATTATTGGTGGCTGCATACGCAGCCTAAGACGAACTTTACGTGGGAGATCGATCTTAGGCCTGCGGTTGAGAAGTGGTAGGTGCGGGCTGTCACGCCGAGAGGACTATAGGATAGGAGAATGGCGCATGAGAGTGTCATGAGTGTCAATAGCAAACAATTCTTGTTCGTCGGAGGCATAAGATCCTGCGTCACCGCGTCAATATCTTTGATATCGCAGTAAATTTCTGCGTCACCGTGGATACCTTCACTTTGTTTTCACGCCCTCTCGAGGTGAAGACGAGTACGCTAGGAGGCCCTCAGTGTATATAAACTTTTCGATCTGACTTTGTTCTCTCTCTTTACTACCCACAACAACATTGCGGGTACCAAAACGCGCAAACCACTATATCCTTTGACGATTACATCACAAACACATCGAGGTATGCTTATTGGTGAATGCCTCTTGTATGCGGTAAACGATACTAAAATCCAGTAGATCTATAACATGTCTGGCCTCGGTAGCTCCCGCTGGTCCTCCAAGCCGACACCAAAGCCATCTGGAGATGATGCGAAGACTCCGGATGAGCCGTAAGTTTCTTTCACTTTGCCTCAACAGGGATGGTATACCAACAGTATTACAGCAAACACGTCGCCGTCCCGTCTTTCGGATTCACGATGCCTAAGTTCAGGAAGAAGTCCGCTCCCGTCGTCTCATCTTCAGTAGAGGCCAAGTTGGTCGAGACGAAGAAACCCGCGGCCAAGGTCGATGCTTCTCCCTGTCAAGAACTTGTCAAGGTCGAGACGGAACGACCGCAGTCCAAGGTCTCCGCCGCCATTCAGGCGACTCGAGACCAGATGGCCAAGTTCGTGGGCCTACGTCGTCAAGATCGCCCTTCCAAGGCAAATGCGACGATTGGACATGGTCCGAGCGCGTCGTACGGAGGATATATCAGGAGAGGATAGATAGGCTGTAGTTGCCTGACATGACGTTCAGGGATCAAAGACAGACCAGGTACAGGAGGCTGGAAGCTACATTCAGCTTCCTGATGTTTGTATGACCAATCAAAGTACATTAAAAACCTCCTGGCTACCTCCCGCCATAGGCGATAGAATGATCAAAACTTGATTTAGACTCCATGTACCACAGTTTCGACAGACGCAACGGGTGCGACATAATATGCCCGAGGGCAGATAAGATGCAAGGTCTACACCGATCGTGCAGCAGCCAGATTGGGCCACTTGCAGAAAATCTCACTCATCAATGTCAGGCTGAACTTGGTCGCATGCGCATGCGCGACATAGTTCGCTAACCGTGGCGAGGGGAGAAATGTCCCATTTGGCCTGACGTACGAGTGCGGCGTATCCATGGGTAGTCGAGAACCCCTGGCACCTTTCATCTACAACGTCGTTGAGACGCAGAGTCGTTGGAGCGCATCGAGGTGATTTGCCGGGCAGAGGCAAATGCTAAGGCCGAGCCATCGAGATTGATGCCGCTTTCAGACCCGCGGAAGTAAGACAACGAGGCTACGTCTACCGGCCAACACGGCCTGGCGATATCATAGGTAGCGATATGCGTAGTTAGCTGGATGGGGCAAAAGATAGACGAGAGGCTCGCATCATGTGAAGGTGTTGCACCGTTCGGAGCCTTGCATACAACCATGCGGGACATGCGCTGGCGACGATGGGCATGGTTCTGACGGACTAGAGTAAGGTGACGGTGAAGCGCCTGGCTGACAGCCAAACGCAATCGACTGGGCGTATTTGTACGTGCGCCATAAGGCTCCGCGACACCTTACTACTGCATGCAGGCCCACCCACGTGTCAGCGCCCGTTCTGCCGCAGTGCGACAGCTCATGTGCTGGAGCAAGCAGAGGGGGAGGCGTTTGAGAGACTCAGACCAGGCGGGATTAGCGATAGATGGAGATGCGGTTCTAACCGGGCCGCTGGTGAAGTGGGAGGTTGCTGCTGCGACTGCGCGGCGGCCAACAGCTGGGCCGCTGGGGTGTCTGGCCGTGGGCTGTCAGGGTAAGCATAAGCTCATGACGGCAGACCGGCAGAGAAATCGCGGTGACTGGTAAGTTTGTCGGATGAAGCGATCGCTTAAATACCACGGTATGCTATGGCAGCACTCGCTGCAAGGACCAACGCCAAGTTGCTCTCGTCCCGTCGGAAGGGAAGGTCCAACGTTAATACCCGTGTGCCCGCAGCATCGAAGGCAGACGCCAGCCAGCACCCAACGCTGGAACCACACGATCCGGCGACCGCAGATTGTGCTGCCTGCTGCCCTGGAATACGCGACGATTGCGCAAGACGTCCGACCTGCATTGCATCTTGTCGTCGTCGTCTGGTAATCTTCGGCCCCAGCCCGTGACTGGCGTTTCCGGCAACCATCCCATCTCTCCGGCCCGCACATCGCAGCAACATCACCCGAAGACTCGATCAACAAGACGCGCGCAGCCTCGCAGCACCGCCATTCTTCATCAACCCCCGTTCTCAGAACTCCCTGCACTCGTCGCCAATATTCGCGCACCGCCTGAGCTGGGCGCCGTCGCGCATCTTCCCATGACCGGAGAGAATGCACCGCGGCTAACTGCACTGCCTGCTTACCCACCACAACAACGACATCAACGGCCGCCATCTCCTCCCGGACAGCATCAGCAACTGCAGTCTCCCCTAACGCAGCTGTCTCCATCCACCGTCAAGGCGTCTCCGCAGCAGACCCCCGGGCCCCTTGATGCCAGCGGCGGCAGTGCTGAGCCCTCAGCAAAACGAGGCATGCGCTCGCAGATTGCATGTACCAGATGTCGCCGAAGCAAGACCAAGTGCGAAAACACCGGTCAGGGCACGACGTGCAAGGCTTGCGCGAATACCAACCGCGACTGTACCTGGGACCACGCGGCTGTCGCAAGCAGCACCGGATCTGTGCGCCGCGACAGCACCGCCGATTTCGATGTAAGTCATCCTTTTTTGTCTCCCAGTACTCCATTAGTCGTGTTGCATATCAACGTTCGTGGCTGAGTTCACGTCCTGGGCTATATCACGTGCTAGCGCTGACACCCCCAGGCCCCGCCCAAGAAGCGACGCAAGTTGCTAGCACCAACATCAACTACAGCGCAACGCTCGGTAGAAGGCTTGGGCTCGCTTGAAGATGCGCTTCAATCACCATTGCTTACTTCCCAGGTCTGGGAAGAGCTGTTTGACATCTATGAGAAGCATTTCTCTACAGACTTCCCCTTCTTGCATAAGCGAACTTTCCTCAGCTCTGTGCGGCCGCCGCCTTCATCTGGCAGCTCATCTGAAGTTAAGACTCCGACTCAAGCTCCAACACCGCGCGTGTATGCGCCTTTGCTCTTAGCCTTCCTTACCCAGACTGCTCGTTTCCATGACAAGCTCGTAGCGCAAATGGGTAATGACCCGATCAGGACTGCCGAATTCTACGCATCAGCGACTCGCACGCAGATGGGAACGGAAGTCGTTGGTTCCCCGAATGTGGAAAAGATCCAAACACTCCTCATGTTGGGGTATTATGAATGGACCAATTTGCAAGGTACTGACGGCTGGATGAAGATCGGCGTTGCTATCAGAGCTGCCATATGCCTTGGGTACCCGCACCTTGATGTCGACGAAAGCGGGCTACCTGCACCACTGAAAGACTGTGAAAAGGGCCTTTCGGAAAAGGACCAATTCATACTTCGCGAGACTCAGCGGCGTACCTTTTGGAGCTGCGTCCTCATGGATTGCTATCTGAGTTGGGGGGAAGATCGGCCGAGGATGCTTACGCCCGATCAACTTCAAAGAACTCAACTTGTCTGTAGCGATGGCGCATTCAATTTTGGAAAAAGAGCAAGAACAAGGCTTCTGGGTGAAGACGATGCGATGTATACTGCGCGGAGGAAACGATGGAACAAACATGCTGAGGAACGCCGTAATGACCACGACGGAGCAGATCGAGCCAGTGCCCTGGACGGAGGGAGGTGGGAAGTTGCCGAGGGGGAGGCAGAACTAACATGGTACATCAAAGTTGTTGTGATCTTCGGAGAAGTCTCACAATGGTCGTGTAAACGCGGCAGGAGGTCCGTTTGCCTCGTTCGTTCCGCCGCGATATCTGACTGACAACGTGTAGACAAGAAGGCAAGAATCCACCGTGGTGCGCAACGACTGGCTTCAAGAAATTGGAGGACAAACTCAAGCAGTTGAAGCGCGACCTTCCTGATCACCTCCAGCTGACCTCGGACAACAACGACGACCGTAGCTACAACTCGCCCGGCAAATACGTTGCGATACATGCAATGTACACATTGTGTTTTGTGTGGTTGTACAGAGAGTACATGCCCACATCACCATGGACGTTGACGTATCCCCGCGGCCCGTTGGATGAGCCACTGATTGATGAGAAACCCCCTGACCCTGACTACTGGATCAAGCAAGCCAAAGACTGTTGGAAAGCCTGCCTCGACTTCACAACACTACTTCATACTATCGAGAACTCACAAGTTCATAGCAATTTAGTACAAACGCCAACGGTAGCTTTCTCTTGTTTTGCCGTTGGAATAGGCAGTAAGTATCTAACAGTGATTTGGTTGGGTATTGCTAACCACCCCAGCCATCTACTGCCACTACTTTCCTCACATGGATCCGGACGACGCCCTCTCATCTCGTAAAGACCCTAGAGCCCATGATATCGCAAACGGCTTCCTACTGCGCATTTTGAGTCGCTTCAAGATGGCCCGCTCGTGGCTAAGTCAACTTGCAGAATGGCAACGATACTACCGTCGTGAGAGAAAGAAGTACCGAGAGCTAAGCGGCCAGATCGATGATTCTCCAAAGAGCAACTCCAGCGATGGCGTCGCTAGCGGTGGGCTGAAAGACTATGCACAGCTCTTCGAGAGAACGCACAAGCAATTCGGTGACATTGCGAACGCTAACGACAACGACGGACAATGGCCTGACAGGGATAAGGACCTCGCGGATACGAGACTGCCACATGACGAAGACTCTGCAGAGCGCACTTTGCCTACCAGCGCCGCTTCGGTCAAGCATGAGATGCAAGGCGCGCCGGAGGAAAAGTCCAGTAACCAGTCCGGCTTCACTGCTGTCAATCACAATGGTCAACAAACTCCTCCAGCTCCGCCGCCAGTCACCCAACCATCAACCTACGCGCACGGCGGCCGTACACCTTCTTATGATCAAAACTCTCACATGCGCGCCACGGCACTGACATCACCACAACAACCCTACCCAGCATACCAGTATCCCAATACTCAGCATTCCCTGAGAAGTCCTTTCCAGCAGTCTGACCCCCGACAATCGCCTGTGCCAGCCCCGGCATCTGTCCCGATACACAGTGTCTACCAACCATGGCCACAAGCACGACCGCAGGAGTTACAGGAGCAGAAGGTGAACATGGAGATTTGCGGCGCTGCTACTTTCCCCAACGGCTGGGCGGGCGACGTCATGATTGGTGATAGTGCTCAAGACTTTAACAATTGGGGCCAGTATGGCTTTCCGACTATTCCGGATAACTCGGGGTATTATCAGTCTGGGTATCCGTATCCACCGCAGTAGGTCTGTGGGGTTGGGCTTGTTTTGCTCTTCGCGGGGTTAATGTAAAGAAGCGTTTGGCGCGTGAGCAATGTTGAGACGAACATCCTTTGTCATTCGTGTTTTCTCGCATATCTGTTTGGCTTCTTGCGATCCACATTCTTTCACTCCTTCCTTCGGCGCATGTTGCGATGGTTGTTTTCTCTGGCTGCATCGGTTGTGCCATTTAGATTCCTAAGGGCGACAGGATGTTATGTAGCGGAGTTTGTTTCTTCATAGGCGGGTTACTTGTTATGCGATGGTTTTGGGTTGGCATGCGACGGGAGAGTCGTGGGCGGATCGATCGGTCTTTATGCACATGTAGATGCACGTATCATATAGCATGTTTGTAGGTTCGTTGCAATGGATTGGTAGTACTCTTG